AAGAGCCACTGTCACCCTTTGAGTGCAACGAGACACATCCTTAGGAGAGCTGGAAGCTGCTGTGAATTAAGAACATTTCTTCTCCATTCAGCGGTCTGAAAAGCTCAGAACACAGCAAATATTTCAGATCTCAGCTCAATCCCAAATGAATTTTTCCCTGAATATTTTTAGCCCAGCCTCTGAACAAGGAAACTGCTCTTTGCTCAACTCTGCCCTGTTATTCCCAAGATGATGAGCACAAAAACCCCCTCTCAAACACCAACTTCACCACGCAGGGGTGATGCTGCACTGGGGAGAGATGGACCCAATGCCAAAGGTGCAGCAGCGAGAAAAGCAGCAGCAAATCAAAGCAACCCAAGGCCAGACCAGCATAAAGACTGTCACAGCTTGACAAAGCTGTCCCAAGTCACTGGCCCTCTGATGTTGCCACGTCTTCCAGCACAAGAGGCTGAAGAACAAAGCAGGGTCCAGCATCACCTTGCAACGCCCACTGGCACCGCAGTGGCACCAATGCTGTCACCTCAGCACACTCCCGGTCCCGTCCTGGTCCTATCCTGTCTGACAGCCCCAGCAGAGCAGTGGTAACTCCTCGCTCCTTTTGGCCGTTTGCCATCATTTCCCATCCCATGCGTTCCCTTCCGTTTAGAGATACCATCAGCTGAGAATTCGAGCTCAGATGTTTGTTATTGCGAGCGTCGTTCCGAGCCAAGCTATGAGCAGCCCTGTTCAGCCTTGCCCTGCACTCTCACCACGGAGGCACAGCAGCTGAGTCAGCGCCCCGCACAGCCGTGGTGCTGCGGTCCCTGCAGGCAGACAGGAGCTCTTCGCTCTTCCTGCAACTCCTTGGGATTTTTACCACCTCTTGCTTTTTTGCTCCCGTTTATTTTTCAAGCCGAAATAAGCAGAGGGATGAGGGTAAAAAAGAAATCTGCTGCAGAGCGTTGCATCAGAAAACAGATTCCCATCAGGATTAATTTCAGTGGAAACAACAAGACCTTCATTTGTCAGCAGGGTAAGATCAGAAGGGCTGAGCCTCGGACCCCTGGCATAGCAGAACTGTGGTCCCCATACCCTGCATCCACAGGCCTGGCCTCTCCACAGGCACCTTCTGACCTCTGTGAGTCTCCCTCAGCTCTGGGGTTTCCCCCACGCAGCATGAGCCTGCACCATCCCCAGTGCTGCACAGATGGGATGGATGGATTGTGCTCAACCCCCTATGGCTGGGCAGCATCTCCCATCCTTCCCAAAAACCAAGCTGCATCCCAGCCCTCCTCCATACCTGGTGTGGCTCCTGACTTTGGAAAAAACTTCCCTGTTTGTTTGCCCAATAACATCATGGCCAAGGAGCTGCTCTCCACATCCATATCCAGCCCTGGCTCTGACAATGGACAGAGCAAGGGGACCAGCAGGAGCGTGATGCTCCCAGCCGTCCTGTTGCTTTGCCTTTGCATTCAGCACAAGACAGCACCAGTCTGCAGATCACAGTGCCCTTTCCCAGAAGATAATGTCATGCTTAACAAGGAACTTTGCTTTTTTATTAATATTAAATTTGCTATGTGTTTGAAGAGCTGGGTCATCTTTGACTCACTCCAATGCCCCGAGCATCAGAACTTGTTCTTGTGACTGATGAATATTCCCTACTAAGAGCTCACATCTGCGGATGAGGTGCTAATGCTAAGTAAAATCCTGCAGCAATTTGTGCATTAGAAGTCAGAAGACATTAGCAAAAACCTCCCTGCTATTTTCACAGGTGAGGGAAGAACTCTGACAGACTGTGAGAGAAAGGAGAGCCCATTAGCACAGCTCTGCTTTACCTAAGGGTGGCTGGGGGCTCTTTGGAGGAGAGGAGAAAAATGTGCAAAGACACAATCATTCCATGTGCTGGATTTGATTGCAGTGCCTGGTGTTCATCTCGGGCATGGGCAGCCCCAGGAGCATCAGCAGCACCGAGCCCAGAAGGGACCATTCGAGGATTTCCAATCCAGCTCTTTCACTGACATCTGGAGGGGCACCACGTGGCCCACAGTTCTCCAAAACTGGGATTGCATCACTGATTTGTGTCTCCCAGCAACTGAACAGTGCTATGTGTGGCACAGTGAGCTGCCCGGGGCCCAGTGGATATATTTAACCCAGGGCAGACTACAACCATCCAGCAAATTCCCAGGAAAGACAAACACATGGGACTGCTTTTGCTGTGCCAGAGCTGAAACCCACCCAGGGTAGAGCAACTGGAGAAATCCCTCAGCACTGGCACATGGGGATGCTCAGCAGCCCTGGCACAAGGCAGCAGCAGGAGCTGATTTGGCAAGAAGCTCTGCACATCTCTACATAACTCTGCTGACACACACCTGCCTCGCTCCATCCAGGGGAGAAAAAGGAGCAGCTTTCATCCTTCTGTGTGAGCAGAGCTAAGGCTACAGCCTTGGATCAGTAACAGAACAGGAAGAGAGCTGCCTTTGCTTTTGAACAGAGGCACTGCAGATCTCAGCACGCCCTTCACAGCTCTCTACTGTTGCCTAAATGAATGCTCTCAGCCACCAGGACCACAGCAGAGACGGGTTCTGCCATCACCTTTCTGGGACACCCCAGCAGATCTGTCCTGGTTCTGTCTCATTTGCAGCCTCAGCCCCGAGCCATCCTGCAGCACACACAGCACACATCACCCTGCTGCAAAAACTCTCCTCAGCACCAAACCCGTGACTGCAGCCAGCTCTGGCCCTCCAGCTCTTTATTAGTGCCCAGCAGTGCAGCAAGGTAAAGCCTTCACGTGCTGACAGCACAGACCCCAGGGCAGGAACCGTCTTCCCAGCCTCATTCAGCTCACAGCTTTACCCCCTGCTTGCTTTGCAGAAGCAGTTTCCCACTGCCAGCCCCCATGCTGCAGCCTGTTTAGCCTTCTGGGGTAGTTGCCCTTTCACAACAGTGAGAAAAAGCTGCGTTCCCTGCATTTAGGGCCAGGGCTGCTCATTTGCACTTGAAATCCAAACCATTTGCTCACATGCCTCAAGTGATGCTGATGCAGCCAGTGATCCATGACAGCTCTGCATCCCCCTGCCTGTGCCAGGTGCCAACTGGGCAGTCTTGGAGTCAAGCCCTGGACAAGACAGGAGCCACCAGACTCCTCCCCACTTCCAAGCAAGATGCTTTCCCATTTATGCACATTCCCTAGGATCTTGGCTCTAATGTCAGCAGCCTGTTCATGGAATTCTCAAATCCCAGAATCCCAGGATGACTGGGCATGGAGGCATCTCTGATGAATGCATCTGGTCCTACCGCTGCTCCAGCAGGGCTGCCCAGGTCCATATCCATCATCTTGAACATCTCCAAGGGGATTCTGTTCTTCTAAGGCTGGCAAGACAAGGAAAGCTTCCTCCAATCCCAAAAGTGTATAATTATGAGATAAAATGAGCAAGAAGCATTTGGGCAGGACAAAAGCTCTTGGGCTGAGCAGGGGTGTCGCCTTGAAGAACCAAAGGCACTCATGGGATGCAGGAGGCAGAAGTGGCTGTGGTCAGGGGGATACAGAGAGTCAGAGAGGAGAAGCAATAGATATGGGAAAGCAGCCCCTAAGGTAGCATCTGAGTGGATACAAGCTGGCCAACAGCAAATTTGGTGAGGCCAAGAAAAGGATATTGCTTCAAGAGGAGAAGGATGTGATGAAAGAGCAAGTGGGAGTTCTAACTTCAGGAAAAGCTGTGTCTCTGTGGGGTTAGGCAAGCTGTTAGGTGGCCTGGATATGAAGACACAGGAAGAGGCAGGAGATGAAGACAGCACTCAAATGCTGGCAAAGGAGCAGTGTCCTGGCGTTGCTGAGCTCAGCACAGAGCTGAGACTGAGAGGTTAAAAGTTCTGTTTCTGTGTTGTGCTGGAGCTGGTGGTGAGACATTCACAAGATGTCAGAGCTCCTCTGAGATATGAATTTGGACAGGGAGAGGAGAGCCCGGCGTAAGGATGCATGCCTCTGAGTCATCACCATAGAGATGGTATTTGAGTGTAGATGCATTGAGATTGCCCAGAGCCACAGCTCTGAACTCCTGCAGCAAATGAGCCTCTAGCAGCAACCCAGCTCTTCTGCACCAAGTGGGATAATGGTGGCCAAAAACAGGGCACGTGCAGAGCAGGGCTCAGAGGTGGACCACAGCTACCGGTCTAGACCATCACCAGGAGATGCTCATCTTTTCTCTTGGTCACACAGGAAAACCAAGTCCCCAAACCATGAGATTTCTAACTCACACACTTCAGATGGGACAGAGGTGAGCTTCAGCCCTCCCTCTGTAAACTGGGGGGAACCTCAGGCCCACAGTCCACCACAGTGCTGCAAGGATGCTCAGGGCAGTGAAGTGCTCAGCATAATAAAGTGCAGCACAAACTGAAGTTTCTCAGCATCTCCAGCCCTGATGTCAGGGAAGGGGACAAGTGGGATCTCAGAGCAGAGCCAGAACAGGCTGCTGTGATGTGGGACAGCAGCTCCATCACCAAGCTTTCAAGAGTAGAAACCCTGTAAGGAACAGAACCACTTGGACTGAGATCCTCCCGTGGCGCCCTCCCTGATCTCCAGGATCAGGAGGAGCCACCTCTCCTCCCTTCCAGCAGACTGGAGTAAGGAGGACAGTGTTCATGGCACACCGGGCATTGTACCCCCAGCATTTTGCCCCTGCACTGCTGCCCAGGCTGTGGGTGGTGCTGGAAAATCGACCAGAAGGTGGCAGGCACCACTCATCCATGGGCATCAGCTCTTCTGCAGCAGGGTCTGGCCTGGAGACAAAAGCATTGGTATGGCACTCCTAACCCATCACCTCAAAAGAAAGCCAGAGCAGCGAAAAGCTGGAGGAAAATGAGAAAAAAGAGACTATTGGAGCTTCTCTGAAAAGCAAGCCCAGCTTAGGTGAGTTTCTGCAATCTGGACTGATGTGTATCAGGGATATGATCACTCTCAACGCCAGGGCTGGCACGGGGAGAACAAGCATGCTGGTATCATAGGAAACAGTTTCTCTCCATACCTTTTTCAGATAAATAACGTGAATCAATGGAGAGGAGGATCAGAATCATGCCTGTGTTTCCAGCTGCTGCTCCCCAATCCCAGCATTCAGGTCCCTGAGAGAGCATCTGAGAAACTGCAATCGCTATAATTAGAAGCAGCACTCACTTTCCAAGAGGAAACTGTGCAAAAGGTTGACTTCCTCTTTCATGCCATTTCAACCCGTTAACAGCTACATATCTGCAGCTCCATTGGCAAGGGGATTTGCCGAGCGGCAGTCTGGATTGCTAACAAGAAATAAGAGTTTCCTCCCACTTCAGTGGGGATTTCTCCTCTGGGCAGAGGTCCTACGACGCAGAGCAGGCTCTGACACTCCGCTCTCTCCCCCTTGCAAAGTGCAGAGGTCTTTCTCATTATCTCCTCGTTATTATGCATTGCTCCCTAAAGCTAATTAATGCTGCCGCATACAGCATTGGCTTGGGAATGCCAAAGACATTGGGAACTTCGTTGCTAGACCTTTCAACAGAGCTACAAGTCACAAGCAAGCTCCTTGTGATGCCATACAAGGAAATATTCACAACATATAATAAAAATAGCCTCCATCACTACACGTTATAATCACATCAGGGAGTTTCCAATCTCTGCAGTAACAAATGGTGCCCTCCCTCTCTACCAAAGCACTCGACTGAGCTCTGGTTAACCCTCCCGATGCCCCAGAACCAGTCAGCCAACATGACAGTGCTGGGAGCGCAGCAGGGAGGCAGCAGCAAAGACTGGCCAGCAACCACTGCTCTCCTTTCTCTGACGCTCTCACTAACACAAGACATGCGCGCAGTGGATCTTGCCCTTTCCAAACTTTTGACACCTTAAGGCCAAGAGAAAACATGCTATTTTCTCAGCATGTTCTCCCTACAGAGCTGTTGTTATGATAAGCCCAGAACATGTGATGGATGAAAAGAGCCTCCTGCAAGGCCATCAGCCCCAACCCTTGAGTTACTGGGAGGTGAAGGATGTCCCACTTCCCTTGGCAGAGTGGGCACAGTGGGAATGGGTTGGTGGTTGGACTTGATGATCTTAGTGGACTTTTCCAACCTTAACAATTTTATGATCCTTCTTACTCCTGCACCACATTTACATGACTCCTTCTGCTCCATTATGATAAGCTGAAGTCAAAGGGCATTTCCATCTCTCCTTTCAGACAGCCACCAGACTCGTCACTGGAAATGCTCTTCTGGCCATGGCAGCTCAGGAGCTCATGGAGCCTCAGGAATTCCTGTAACAAATTTTCTCAGCCTGGCTCCCCAGTCCCGCATTACACACACCAGGGAAACTCAGGCTCTCCTTGAAACCACTGCTGACATGAAGTGCATTTCAGCACTCAGCTCCAGGACGCCTTCCTTAGGACAGAATGCAGCCCCGCTCATTTATCTACAAAAACTCCTTTAAAATCATTTCCCTAAAGTTCTTCAGACAAGTAAACCCAACCACATCTTTTTTCACTCTTTTAAATCCAGCTTTGGAAATCAGATGTGCCATTCCCACATCATTCTTTGCCTTTGACCTCCCTGCAATGCCCAAATTAGCTGCATGTGTGCCAGCCCCATCCCTTCTGCTGCCCCAAACATCTGCAAGGAGGCAGCGGGTTTCTATGGAAGCTGTGGCTCCCATACAAGGCAAGCGCTGCCAGCCAGCGAAGGACAGCTGGAAATGTTTGACCAAGTAAGACGCTGATTTGGCTGAGCATCATTTAATTCTTTACAATGGGGCAGTGATGGCAAAATACTATTGGTTCACCTAAAAAAAAAAAACCAAAGATGTCATCATTTTATGTTGCTCGCTTCCAAAAGATGCTTGAGTTTCTGCAAATGTCAGAAGTAGGGGAAAAACTCAATCTGGTGGCGAGTTAAACACCATCTTTTCTGCCACTCATTGCAGAGGGAATAGCGCCTCGACCAAACAGCTTTCCCCATGCAATGTGCAGGATGTGCTGAGGGGCTGCACCTTTGCAGTGGGGTTGCCCTGGGCGAGCTCAGGTCATGCTGTATGCGCCTCAGCAGAGCAGTGTTTTGAAAGAGAAAGGCAATTGCACGTGTCAGGCAGATTAGGAGGTGATAGATAGACGGACAGGCAGGCAGGCAGCCTTTTAAATAGTCCTCATCTTTTTACTATGACATCTGTCTGCAAGAGTTTAAATTATGATTCTTACTTACAGCTTTGAAAGGATTTAAAATGCTTAAATCCCTGTTAAAAACTAAACTACCAAGGCTCAGCTAGATACTACATTTTTAATCCACAATGAAAGCAGCACATTGTATTTTCAAGGGCTGCCGAGCTCTCATGGAAATACCCTGCAAACACTGAGCTCCTCCTAATGACCAACCTGTTACAAAAAGGAATGGTGCTAAATTCAGATCCTGGCTACATCATGGTTGTGCTGATGTGCCTCCACAAAACACAGAGCTGAATGCTTGCTGCCATGCTGCCCACCGAGCAGTGCAGCCGTACTTCCCCTGGCTTTCTGTGCACAGAACTGCAGCAGCCCAAGCTGTTGGAAAAGCCCACTGAGAACAGAACCCACAGACAATAAAGGCCCTGGGAAGCCCTTCAGTTCCCGTTAAGCTTTATTTCTCATTCTCTTTAAGAAAGCCAAATCAACTTCCACCTTCCCATGCTGAGCTCAGTCTGCTGGCCGCAGGAACTGCCCTGCTCACAGACAAGCCCCAAATTCCTCTATTTCTGCCCCAAAACCAAACATGGCCAGAGCATGTGCAAGCATGACACCACAGCAGCTTGGGAGCAGTACTCTGCCCGTTGCTCGCACGCCCTTCTCGTGCTGTGCCGTGGGAGAGGAAGCTCCAACCTAAACTGTTGCACTCTGATGAGGAAATAGAGGTGGATCTACCAAGCAGGGTGAAAAAGGGGACAGGGTCTGGCCAGCAGCACTGCCCTGTGTGACTGTAGGGAACATGATCACTGCCAGCCATACTGCCTGGTCCCCATCCAGCCTGCAGCTGGATCTCATTGCCAGCGAAAGGCTTCTGCCTTCTGACTGTTCTGTTTATTCTGCTAAAGACCATAATCATCCTGCTAATTGTTTGAGTTTGTTTGGGTTGCTTCAGTGAACTCCTATTTTGGTGAGGCCATGTGCTGTGCTCCCTCTGCTGGCAGGCTGCTTTGGGCTGCGGGAAGGCTACAGGGGAAGGGAAGGACAAATCCTGCTGCCACACCACAGCCCTTCCCACCCCTGGCTCCATCAAGTTTGAGAGCAAGACCTGAGGCTGGCCTTCGCCTGCCAGCTTTATCCCTTGTGTCCTGGTTATTCTGAGCATTCCCAACAAGAAGAAAAAAGCTTAGACTTGAAAGCCACAGCAACACAACAGGCTCGTCTTGCTGGTGATGACTTTGAGCCACAGTTTTCAGGGGAGCACTGGCTTAACCCTCAGCATCAGCAGTTACACCTGTGACAAACTGTGAGCAAAAACACAGAAGCAGATGTAGGTTGTAGAAAAGGGCAGGAAATGTTGCCTGAAACAAAGATATGCTTCAGAAGTACCTTCCCATGCCCAGCACCAGGAGGAAATGAGCTTCAGAGCAGAATTTCAGCGGAGCTTTCTCCACCTTCTGTCTGTGGTTTTGTTTGGTTATTTCATGGGTCTGACAAACAACCATTAAACCGGCCACAATGCAGCACGGCCAGCTCATGGCCACCACAGCTGCTCAAAGCTACATGCATGGAAGCATTAGGAAACCTCCCAGAGCACTACCAGATATTTGGGGGAGAGAGCAGGACCTGGGGTCAAAATCCACCCAGGGACCCATTCAGCCTTAAGCTTACAGCACTGTGCTGCACCAGAAATGCCCCCACAGCACTCTGTTTTCCTCTGGGATTCTGTTTTATTCCACAAGTTGAGCAAAGCCCGGTGCAAGAAAATCCCCTTCTGCTTCAGGGAACGTTTCTCACACATGGAACAGCCACAAAGACCTTGGAGCAACCTCCCCTTTCTGGAAAACACCATGAATGGGATTAAGCCCAGGGTCTTGCAGCATTTACAGTGCTACTTTCATCATCAGAGCAGCAGAGAAATCTTTTGATGGACGCAAATACCAGCCAGCAGTCATTAACCTAAAAGTAGGGGAGTTTTTCATCAGCCCTATTCAGTAGGAAAGTCAGGAAATGGTGAGAACGTTCTTCACATCAGCGAAATAAAAGGCAAGACATCCCCCACATAGACACTTTCTTGCTAAAACTATTAATAAACATCACACTTCACGTCAGCCTCTGAAGGTCAAAGCAATCTTTGTCCCTGGTGGAAGCTCTTATGGAGTTTTTAAGAGCTGTGTTTCACGCCTAAATGTACTTCCTTAATGAGCGCAATTCTACATCTGCTCAGGTGAAACAGGCTGCTGTACATTTGCTTCCATCCATGGTTTTATGACACCTCCTCGGCTGCTGATGGCCAGCCAAAAGAAATGAAAGGTGCTGGGAAATGAAAATGGAGTTCCTGAAAGCATTTGTCTTTAGAAAATAACAATAATAATAAAGGCATATGAAGCAGTCTGCCTCAGCAGCAGTTCACAGAGAAATCACTGTACATCCTTTCCTATTAGAAAAAAAAAAAAGAGTACATAACATAAAAAACTGAATTCAACCGTACCACGTGGAATAAAAACAAGATGGCTGCAACAGCCCACAGACAGCAGGGCCTCCCAGAAAGACCTCCCAGGCCTGGAGGCAGGCAGCAAAGATGGGACGCCTAAATACAAGCCTGTCAAAAAATACAACCTGTCCAAGCAGGTGGAAAGCTCGCTTTAAAAAAACAAAATAGCCTAAAAAGCGCTTTGGGGGAGGACTGCGGCTCTGCCGGGACAACCGGCATGGCGACAGGAGCAGGGCAACCCCACCGCCGCCATTTTCCCCCTGCCCCTAGCAACCGCCCCTTAGCAACACCGGGCCACGCCCCCCTGCGGCCACGCCTCCTTCGCTTTCGCCTCTCAGCCAATCACGCCCCTCAGCCGCCGTGTCGCCGTCACGTGACCGCGCTGCCCCGTCGCGCCGTAACCATGGCGACGGCGGTACACACGCGGCGACCGCAGTGAGGGGTACGGAGGGCGCCCAGCCCGCTGCGCTGCCGCCCCGAGGCCCTGCGGCCTGACAAACCCTCGTGGGGCCCTGAGCTGCTGGGTTTTCTATTGTTGGTTTTCTTTCTTTTTGAGATTTGTTGAGCAAGAAGGGGCTTTTTCCTATCCATAGCAATGCCACAGATTTGGATCCCTTGGATCCCTGCAGCTCTCTCCTCGTGCCCCGTTCCCGTGGCCTTGCTAGTAGTTAAGCAATACTAGAAGAAGCTGAAGCAGATTGTGAAGGAATCCCTGCCCCCAAAACCTACGGTTCTGCTACGTAAACAGCCGTGTGTCACAGGTGGCAAAGTACAGGCTGGGGAGGAGGACGAGAGAGAGCTCTCATTCTATCAATTTAATGAGTTCTTTCCTCAGCAGATCTGGACAAGGCTGAAGATGTAAGTGGCTTTTCTTAGAGATCCAATGACTGTGAATTGGTGCGGGGGAGCTTCCTTTGTTATGCAGCTGACCAGATTTTCTGCAGATCAACCTCTGAAGAGCCGAGCTGTTCTCAGAGCTGTTCTCAGCTGAAGTGAGCATGCAGATGGCAGCTGAGCTCTTCTGAAAAACCAAGGTTCATGCAGGGCCGAATTCTGAGGCTGCAGGGCTTCCCCCAGCAATACCCCGGGCCTCACAGGGTGATACAGCGCTCAGAGGGAATTTCAGCCTTACTTCATTTGCTACATGTTTGTAGCATAAGGGTACAGTGCATTGCAGGGAGCCTTGCTCTGGATCCCTCTGTCCAGCCCAGGAAAGACTTTGTGGGAATAAACTTAGTCCTGGGAGCTGCTGGTAACTTTTGAAGTGATGTAAAACAAGAGTTTCACTTGGCTCATTTCTACCCTCCTGAATACCGATGTTGTTTTACCTTGCATCTCAAGAACACCAAGGGCTGACCTCCTCTTGAGAAAGCGGATAAGCTCTAAATCTTCATATACAACCATTCAAAGAGCTTTAGCACACACGAAGGCTGCTTCCATCAGCAAAGAGAAACCTTGAGGCTAAAAAGCCAAGCTGCAGGTGGTCCTTGTTTGGTAGGCAAGGATATATCTCTTTTTTCAGCAGAGTGAAAATTGTTTTAAACATTGCAAATTTAAAAGGTGACTATTTATTCCTACACATCTCATCCATCGCATTTTCTTAGTGATGTGAAAGCACTTTCTCTCCAAGCTCTTAGGCTCCTCGCTTCACTACAGCAGTTGGGAAACAAAGCCACGTCTCACACAGAAGACACAGACACCACACATCTCACGTGCCACCAAAAGCAGCTCTTCGCACCATGCAGCCCAGTGGAGTTTTTCCCCTCTTTGACTCAGATAACATCTGTCTGCTGACTGGGTGACACTCAGCAGGAAAACACATCTGAGCTTTGTAGCAGGACTTGACAGCACTGTTGTGCTGCTGCTTCTTAAGACGCGTGAACAGACAGCTAGAGCTGTGCTGGCTCTGATTAAATAAATGCTGTGGAATCAGCCTCCTGAATTTCTGTTTGCTAGGAACAAGTCACACAGAGGTGAGAGCCTGTGTCCTGTCACTGTCTCCACTATTACATCGTAATGAACCTTAGGAATGACCACTTGGATGTATTTACGGGCACTGACAGAAACCAGATTTTTTTGGTTTTGTTCCACTACTGACCTGAACATTTACTGCTTAAAAGCTATCAATCACCTCAAAATAATCACAGCTACATTTTCTATAGCATAGAAGAGCTGTGGATGTAGAATCCACGCAAGAATCACTGAAAATACGCCAGATGTATTGAAACGTACAGGTAGACACAGACAATCAGTAGATGCCTCTGCACACTTTGGCGTGCACAGTTATTTTTAAGTGTATTCAAAACCTTGGCAAGCCAGAACTGAAACTGCTCTCGTTTGCAGCCCCGACCGATGCACAGCACGCAGTCACAGCAGCCACGCACAGCTCGGAAGCTGCCTCGTGCTTCTGTTGAGGCAAAGAGGTGTTGTGCTGGGGCCTTGGAATCTCTATAACCACATCAATAGGAAAAGGCAAACAACACCAATGCCAAGGACCCGAATAAACACGGATTATCTTGTTCGCTGCAACCACTTACAAACGACAGAGGCAGCCCTGAGTTATGCAGAAGTCGAGCGCCTTGCCCTGTTTCTATAACCGGGCCTCCTGTTGAGTTGCCTTCTTCCTACCAGACCTGGGTGAGTCAAACAGGGCTCAGGGAGGTGCAGCCTTGGCAGGCAGTTCGTCTCGTTTGAGAAGTTTCAGTTCCTGGACAGGTTTTGTAAGAACAACGCCCTGAAGCAAGAGATTACGAGACAGCCTGGCTGCGTTTCATCCTGAGCCTCGGAAGCTTCAAGCAGAGCTGCCCGAGCTGTGCACCATAACACACACTGCTCCTCCAGTAGCAGAGGAAAAAAGCAGAAGCTGTCGCGGTGTGTTAAGCGGTAGAAAGAACACGCTCAGATATGCCTGACATCCCAGTTGCAGAGTCCAGTGCCATCCTTAGAACCACTTCCTCCTCGTCAGCAGCTTCCTGTGTGATTTCCTGCCTCGTTGTGTAAGGGCAGCACGAAGGAAAGGATTCCTCGTTTACACAAAGCCATTTTCTGTCCTTAGCAGCTTTTCTTTCAACTCTCCTTACAAAATCCCTTTTAAAAGCACTGTCCTAACAGGTTGGTTTCCTTCGGTTTGTTTGGTTGTTTTTAAGACTTACGTTATTTCCATCTACAGTCAAAATCTTCTTCCTGACTTCTCTTTTGAGATACAGCTATGGTTAACATAGAAACGTAAAAACTCTCATTGCAAAAGATATTTTCTGAGAAAGCAGGGTTTCTACTGCACGCACACGAGCTAATTTTTCACTTAAATCACTTAGGGATCTTAATAGCTACAAATGTCTTGGGCTTTATTTCCTAAAGAAATTAATTTCCTTTCCATCCCCATCCAAAATCCACTCTGAAGAGCAAATGTATTCCGAGTAATTTGCATGCACTGTGCACCATTCCTGCTATGGTGAGGATATCACTCCCTCCCACAGCCACTAAAGCTGCTTACTCAGTGCTTAAGGCCAAACTCTAATAATGGTTTGATGGATCCTAAACTGAGGTAAGTTGGCATCTCCCAGCAGCTCCTGAAACTGAGCTTTGGCAGGAATATAACCTCCTTTGTACACAATTAGATTCTTTTAGTTTCACTTAAACTGCCACCCACCTTCCATTGTGTGCTATAAGCCTTCCAAACAGCCTGAACTTTCCTCTTTTTTATTAATATGTAAATTAAATCAGTTTACCTTCCTGCTAGTCATCTTCATCTGGGTACAAATGAATCTAAGGAGAACCCAGCTGAGGCAAAGGCAGGCTGCTTATCCTCCACCATATCCTCATGCTTTTTTCCACATCTTGTTGGCTTGTCTGCCTAGAGTCAAGCCAATTTACTCCACCTCTTTTGTTAAGAACCCTGTCGATGAACTAAACCCAACTGGTAGCACAGACAAAATGTAAGGCTTGTGAGGACCAAACACATTCGTTGCTCCTGACCAACAGAGCTTCCTGTGATAAGAATAGTTTCTGCTTACCACAAGCTGTCATGAACTTATGCACAAATTCCACTTTCTGAGAACTAAACCAGTTATGCCTCAGGCTGACCTTCATGTGAATCTTGGCAGGTTTGGTTCACACGGCTTGGCAAAAAACAATCTAGGCTCCTGGAGTTTGTCCACGGGTTTGCACTCATTCACCCCTGGCTTTCCAGCTCTGGCAGGCAGCTCACCATATTTCACCCACCATAGTTTAATAAACCCATCTTTAGTGTCATTTCCACCTGCAGCCTTTAACCACCTTGCATTAATGCCGCAGAACAGAAGGTGGACTTCAGGTTTTATTGTAGAATACTGGTATGACTCCAAGGAACCTGTTTTGGTAGCAACAAGTAGAATTCAGCAGCAGTTTCTGTTTTACGCAGGTTGTTTTCAGAGGTTGTTGACATCATCCCGCCTGTCTGGGCTTCTCTGCTGTGATGACATCCTCACCATGAGACCCCCTTGCCTTTGTGGCTTTCTAAAATCATGGTTCTGGATAGCATACCTGATCCACAGGTACACAACAGCAGCAAATGATGAACACTAGCTCTCCAAGTCCCAGTTTTAACAGTGGAGCTGATGCCTGCAATCCTCAGTTATCTGGTTACCCTTTGGGGCTTCAGTAAAACAAAGGCAGTGCTACTTAGGACCTTCCCAAGCCCCGCAGGACTCAGATGGTTAGCATGTGTGAAAGATTAGGATTTCTATGATGCTTTCTGAACAGCAGATGCATTTGGATTTCCCAGTGGCTTGTACCTTCTTCATTGCTTTCAGCCAGCAGTAGTCAGCATACCACATGGCATATCTAGCATCTTTGCACCTCTTGTTTTATACTTGGCGAGGTCGTACAAGACTTCCATGGCTTTGACTCCTGCCCTCATGCAGCTGGGATGGCCACTGGCAACCTCAGTGCTTGAACCGAGCTGGAGCTGCAGTTCCAGGAATGTGGCCTGACCCAGTCCCCTGTGATGGAGCTGGGGCTGCTCCAGCTCCTTGGTGGAACTACACTGACTTGCAGTGACCAGTGCCTGGCCGTCTCCCTCCTGCCTTTGATTTTGGTTTGTTCACAGACCGCAATGGAATCAAGGAGGGACGTCAGCCTCAAGATATGCTTGGCAAGCTGACGTGGCCAGAGCTGCTGAAAAAACACCATGACAGCCATCTCCCCATGGTCCCCAGATATTTAGAATCTTCCAGTTCTACTGAGCAGGTAAAATGATTCCCTATTGTGTTTGTGTTGCAGCTATTCTGCTTCCATCCCGAAATGCAGATGGCTTTTCTCAGAACTTGAAAATGTTGTTCTCTAATCAACTGAATTGAGCTTTGTATTTTGTGAAGTGGCAGGGGCTAAGTACAGTGTGTCTGTAATGACACATCTGTCTTCTAAGAAGCTGTATAGAACGGAGCCAGAAGACCTTTGGGCTCATCTGAAAACACTGCATTCAAATGAAAACTGAACTAAAAATAGTAATTACTGGAAAACAAAGGGAACAACCTGACCCCACAGTTGGCAGACGTAGTACAACAGGAGCAATATGCAACTGTATGCATATTTCTAAACCATACTTGAGAGCAGCTTCTAGGAGCTTCCAAGTAGAGATGCGTGCATAGCTCTGACAGGAGAGAGGGCCCAAACAGCCAGCCAGTTTAACATATTGCAGCTTATCCAGCTGCAAAAGCTTGCAAATGGACAAGACCTGAATCTTTTCCCCTACGAAGACTTGAACAAACAGCAAAGCTGTAAATAACCATGATGAGGTAAGGCTGGGTCAATTTAAGAAACAAAAGGCTTTTTTTTTTTCCCTTTGTGTACAAATTTCTCCTCTGCTTTTCATGGGGGGAGCGGGGGGAGCATTCTCTAATGGTGTTTTACTGAGGGAAAGCATTCCAACAGTTACCATAGACATTTGCACGTGGCTAACTTCTTTTGCCATATGTTTGATATGAAATTTGGAATGGAAGTTTGGACCACAATTTTATGGTCGTTTGTAACAGGTTTGAGCACCACTGGATCATTTAGCATGACAAATTCAATCCAGATCAGGCCTGGGCACACAATTATTTTTCAGCCAGACTGCATAATGTGGCATTTATGCTGGCCGTGGGAAGACAGACAATATCTAATCTGGCATAAAGCCTACCAATACAGAGCTAATGTCAGAACTTTCTTAAACAGCTTTCAATGGGATCAGCACTTCGGGTTGTGTGGTCAAGCATTTTATATCCAGGAGCCCTAGAGCCAGATTTCCTGCATTGTCAACCTGTGACCATTTTGGCAGCATTCAGACATTCTCCATCAAGCTTTCTCTTGTTATGCCTCCATGCAAGCCCTTTGTCCTGTCGGAGATTCTTGCTGCAGTCCATAAGAGCACTATAGGTATGAAGCATTTGGGATCTCTCTAAACACAACAGCCTCTCACTGTTGCTCCCCAGGTCCTGCAGAACTGTGCGTGCATCTGATTGCTCTTAAATCTGCAGATACAAATATCACAGTTGTTCAACTGGACCCACGGATGCTGCTTGCACAGTTACCCTATCATTGCCCATGCAGCCGTAGGAACTGTCAGCATTGATCTCCCAGTCCATCTTTCTAATGATCATTAGAACAATGATTCCTGAAAGGAGCCATGCTTCTGCACGTCTCCATATTCCAGGACTCGGGCTGGAAAAGACTGTGCTTGCTTTCATTCTCAGAAGGTGCTGTTTCCTGAGAAAACCAAGAGCGCCAGGCTGTCAGTCACTGAGAAACCTTGAAGAATCTCCTCTCTGTGCTGTTCTACCTCCTGACACTTCACATCCAGTCACTTTTACCAAAGTAATCCTCCTAATTTACAACTGCAGGCTGGAGTTTCTCTTTGGGAGACACTCATTCTGGAAAAGTTGCTTATTTTAGAACCCACAGCCTCTAGGAAGATATTTTTCCCTAATCCCAAACTAAATGATATCATACTTGGCTAGTGCTGTAACCATGGTACTGAAGTTATTTATGACTGAAATTAATGCTATAGTTAGCAACACTGGGGCAGGGTTCCTTCTATGCTACTGTCCAACTGCCTCCCTCCCCCAGCCTGAGGCTACACTGCAAAGCAAGACACAGAGTCTCCAGAGGGTCTTTAATTTGCAGTAAACAATGTCAGCCTTTGCTGATCCCCAAAACTTGGCAACGCACAACTGGATGCGCACAAAGATGCATCTTCTAAACAAAACAAAGCACTTGGCTGTGTTGTCATTGCTCTTAACTCTGTTTCGAGATTTGTTTTTATTTATTTTAGCTCTTAAATTCCTTGAAGGGACCTGGAACTCCAGCGTGCAGAGCCAGGACTGGCAGCAGCAGGGAGAGCTCAGTTGTACGCCACTCATCAGCTCTGAGCTGAGGGAATCACCACGAGGGGAAGAGGAGAGGTCAGCATTTGTGCCTGGGGACACTGTTAGTCACCTCTGAGAAACTGATAGCCTGCCTGTATGCAAGCTATCTGGGAGCCAAACCAATATTATTCCAGTCTGATCCCTCTGCAAAGAGATCTCAGAGAAGGTTGGGAGGAATCCAGCAAAGTGGGAAACAGAAGAAACAAAACCACGCAGTGCCGAGTCCCTCCTGGTCAAAGATCAGGCAGCTCCCTATTTCCACAGCACAGATGAGAGGGAACAGCTCATAGACACATCCTGAACTTCAGTCAGACCCAGACACCTCTGTGCCCTTGTGGGGCATCGCATCAGCAGCTCCTGCATGCCTTCCTCTGATCGTCCCCCAAGTCAGAGAATCATAGAACAAGATTGCAAAACAGACACTGCAAACAGAAAAATAAAGGATGAAACAGGGAGGAGAAAAGAAAACAGAAGAGCACAGCAAGAAGAGAAGCAGCATGGGGAAGTGGTGGTGTGCTGTGCTGGGAAGAGTACAAGGATATCAGCCCACCTACTGATTCATACAGGGGGCAGTTCAAGTGAATTTAGACATCACAGGCAGTAAAGCAGGCAAGCAAGTCTCTGCTGACCACACCACTACCGTGGTTCCATTGGATGGAACATCGATTTCATGTCACTTCTGCTACCTGGATTAACCTTTCAATGCCTTTCTTTGAATGCCAGTTGGCACAGCAGTCCAATTCTGCTCACCCCAGGAGTGAAGAACCAAATGCCTACCCCACGGTTTGGGGCTTTTGGGATAGACCGGCCTTAGGCCCAATCCAATTTACAGCTGAAGTCTCAAGGGCTTCACTGAAGTAGTCAAATCATTCTGGGAAAACGTACTGGGGGGCAATGCAGTATTTATTTTATGCCTCAGTCTTACTTTATTTTACAGCCTAAACCTCCAATTCCCAGAGCCACGATTCTCCCATTGCCTTCATGGAATTTACATTGGAGTCACTTAACAGGGCTTTGCTATGTCTAAATCATTGCCTTATTTTTTGCTCTATTTTTTTGTTTGTTTGTTTTTATTTTATTTTTTCTTCTTTTGACCACAGGCAAAGGAAATAAATCATCTGATATCCTGCCAGCAAACTGCCATCAGCACTCTGAAACTGGAGGCGTTTCTCCTGCCCCAAAAGAGCACTAAAAAAATATATATCTAGCTGATAACTTGGACAGGGTTCAGGTATGTTTGTGTGCATACCAGCAGTTAAACTGATTTCTTCCACTATCTTATCTGTCCATTTCAAGAGGAAGAAGTTTGGCAGGCGAGCTACTCTTGGAACGCACTCAGTAAACCATGGATAGGAGAACCAAGGAGCATAAATAGAAATAACCATAGGTGTAGCAGCTGGGAGCCTGACTTCTGGCTTCTATTCCAGCTCTACCCATGACTCACTCGATGACTTTGGAAAGCCACTTCGCCTCTCCCTGCTCCAGCATTCTCCCAGGCACAGCTCACCCATTTCACAGGTACCCCAGGCAGAGGAACCCCACTGCTCCCAGCTGGGTAAGCGTCTCTGGAGGAAGAACCTCATCCCTCTTCCTCTGCCAGCCCCACGCCATCCATCCCCACAGCTCATGGCACCCAGAGGGGAGGTGGCAACTTGAACCGAGTGCATCTTGTGAAGCTTTTTGGGATCCGTCAAGGAAAGGGAAAGCACTTGAACAAAATGTTGCTAATTATAGCTTGACAGCACATAACACATTCCTGCTCTGGACAGAGCTCTGCTATCAGCCAACTCAATTATACATTATCTTTGCCCAACTCCCTCCTTATTAATTGTGACCAAAGCACTGAATAAAGCCAAATTGCTGCCTGCTCTCCATTTCTCCTTATTCAACACCAGTTCCTTGACAGCAACAGTGAGACTGCAAGGCTGCTATGCGGGGCTGCCTGCGCTCCCTGCCCCCAGCCTGCAGTAAATACGTCTCTCAACTTTTATTCCTGCCTGCCCAGAGCAGATCCCTTGCATGCTAATGCTGGTTAAGCCGTGGCTGAAGCAGGATGGAGCTGTGCTGTCACCCCAGCAGATGCCCTGCCACAGTCCTTTGGAAAGCAGAGCCCCTTTTTTCCAAGTGCTCTGCAGCATCCTGCTCCAGTTGAAGCATGCAAGAGCCCAGACTTCTTCAAACCCTCTGGGTGTCATCCAGACTCCAAGGGACAGGGATTTAGCATTGGTAGCAAGCAGGAAAACTGCAGCAAAACCCGGTGCCCACACACACACATTCTTTGCATTGGGGGCAGCAGCAGCATGAAGGCATCCCAGATCAACCTGATTTCTATATAAAAACAGGAAACTACCCCTCCCTCCACCAAAAGGGAGGAAGAGCTTCCTGGCCTGTATCTGTGTCACTGAGAAACGAGGCAGGAACAAACAGCTCACTCCTCCTTATCCTAGAGCGCATCTGAAAGAGCAGACGCTTCAATGAATTCCTTCTAGGGGTGCTCCTAAATCTGTCCCTAGCACAGTTCCTGGAAAACAGCGAGATCTCTGCTCCCACAGGGCTCAGACAGATGGCCTCAGACTTCTCCTAACACCCACTTCCCGCAGGAGCAGCAGATGGGAGCTGTGCTACAAGCCACAGGGCAGGGTTACCTCCTGATGTGCCCAGGGATGCAGGCATTTCACACTGGGCTGCTGCTCCAAATCCAGCTTGAGCTCATAGCAGCTGGCCCTCAGCACTGACAGTTGTTTGGTGCCCTGTAGGAGATGAGTACTTGCACAGGAGCCCAGCAGACAAAGCTGGGATTGATTCAAGATCTAGAAGAAGCAATCGCCCTTTGCCTTCAGAAGCGGTGCTTCCCACGCTGCACTGAGCATTTTAAGGCAGGTTCTTACATGTCACTTTTACTGATGTACTGCAGAGATGTCAGGTTGAATGTTAGGAAACATTTCTGCTCAGAAAGAGCAGTGGCACAGCTGCCCAGGGAGGTGGTGGGGGTCACTGTCCCTGGGGGTGTCCCAGAGCCATGGAGATGTGGCACTGAGGGATGTGGGCAGTGATGAGTTGGGGATCTTGGAGGCCTTTCCCAACCTTAACAGTTCTGCATCAAGTTGTACCTACCTCATCCCACATCTATTACACATGGCATGAGCTGGGCCAGGATGTCTTACTCAAGTAAACCATCTTATGGTTATGACTTATGTTTGATCTGGCATGCCATGCATGTGTATCAGGCCATAATCAAAGCTTTCAGTATCACCTGATCCAATAGAAAGAGGGATTGTACAGCATTAAGCCAGAAAAACACATGCAAGAACTGTTGTTCTGCACATAAAAGCTGTCAGCTTAGCATACGTGAGAAACCTCAAGGTCATGAGCACTGCTTCCTGACAATGATTCCTGGACCTTGCTATGTCAAAACAGAAATACCAGAATGATACTTAGAGTCAGCAGCCATCGCTTGCTTTGCCTGCTGCCATGTAACAGGCAGGTCGTGCACACTTGTTTAGATGCATCTGCATAGGAATCCAAATTGCACATAAAGAGCTGCGACAGAAGTTGTGGTTTTGTTATTACTGCTCATGACAGAGACTACATGAGAAAAACACTTTCCAGCTCAGATGGAGGAAATGGAAAGCACAAAGGCTCCGTTTGCTGCTCAGCAGGGTGGATTTCTAATGAACTGCTTCTACCAAATAATTGAGAGATGAGGGAGCAGCGTGGAGAGGTGCTTTCCTCACAAGAATGAAAATCAGAATACCATTCTTGGGCTAGGTTACACAACCAGGAATATGTTTTAATCCTTCCCCCACTTGTGCTGAGTACTTTGCTTTCATTGTAAACACTTGACCTCTACTTCTCAAGCCTTCCCTTCAGTTACCTTCATCTAGTTCTTCCCCCTCCAAACAAAGAGCAGAGGCTTCCTGTCAGCTCTCCAACATACCTGCGCCAGCAGTTCCGTCCATCTGCAGACTTTCAGAGAGCACACAGAACCACCTTCATGTCCGCAGATGAAAGACTTGCAGAGCAGCTCCCAGCTCCTCCCGGATGGTAAAGCTGGTGAGTTCTCAGAGCAGAAGGGTGAGAGCAGCCTGGATGTGGCCCAGCTTTTCCCATCTTGTAGTCAAGGAAAGGCCATGGATGTGCAGATACCACCTGCCTTGATTTCAGCCAAAAGAGAAATCCATCCAGCTCCGTTTTGTCTTTGTGTTACACTCTGTGACTTGTTCCTGACACACTGCATTGCGACTGCTCAGCCATTGCTGCAACAGTGATGAGGGCTCGAGAGAAAGATCCTACATCCCTCAGAAGCTCAGATGGAAAACCACGGAGGTAATAAGGAGTGTCACCACTGCTACACCTGGCAGCACAATCCACAGCTAAATGAGCTGTAAACTGTAAAAAGACTTGTGCCCTGCTTCTGTCTCCTTCATCATTTCATTGCATGAACAGGGCTGTAGCGTGGTTAAATCCCCTGCGTGGAAAGCAGCTCCTAGGCAGTTTGTTACACACAAGTATTTCCTTTGGTCTTGACTGTGTCAAGGAGCAGCAAGGGCCAGCTGCTTCCCAAAGGATCCAGGAGGCAAGAAGGGATGTCACCAGGCAGGATCCAGCCCCACAGTGGGACAGGGCAGTTCCAGGCATCACCACCACGTCCATCTAAGAGCCCTCAAGGTCACCAGGCAAGCTTGCAATGATGAGGCAGACCAGTAAAAGGCAAGCAATGAATCAGCCCTGGAGTCAGGATCAGGCCCAGCAGGTGCTGAGCAGCTCCAGAAAGTCCAGATAGGGCTGAGGTCACAAAGCCAGCTTCCACATTGGGGTCGAGCTCAGCAGGGCCCACAGACAGGCAGAGCTGGGAGCAAACCAGCCTCAGCACTGCTGCAAAAAGAACAGAGAGTTCTGTGCTCAGCTTAAATAGGGCTCCTGAGCTGACAGCAAAGGGTGTGGATGGAGGCCCCCAGGTGAGGCTGCTCATGGCTGTTAAGGAGCATTGGTGCCCCAAACCCTGGCAGCTCGTAACACCCACAGCAGAGACAGTAATTTGCAGTGATTCCTTCCAAGATGAGGCTTCCACAGTGCCGAAGGCTTTGGGGCTGCAGCCCCAGTGCTGCTTTCAGCGCCAGCACTAGCCCTCCTGGCTATGACTTCTGCTAAGCTGCTTCCCCTCTCCCCCCGTAGCTTGGCACTAAAAAGCAAACAAACAGCTCGGAGAGATGCAGGATTTGCAGCCTGGTTTTCAGCAGGCTGGCGTCTCATGGGGGACCGACCTGGGTGCCTGGGAGGGCACAAACTCCCAGGGAAGTTTTTCCCACGGTTTGGACATCAATCAGATGTCAGCACTGCGCGGATTCTCTGGTGTCTAATAGGGGCTGGCAGCATGGGTCGGTGTTTCTCACAGCTGCAGCCCTGGCAGGGTCACTCTTTAGCCAACTGATTGCAAATGTAGGATGTGAGCTCCATACCTCTCTGCTGGTTTGGGCTAAAACTGGCCAAAGGGGTTAAAGAGTTTTTAAAGAGAGGAATTTGGAAGAATGCGAATGCACTGATATACAGTGTGATTGCATAAACTCTGTCACATTAGGAAATCAAAACAGTCAGCCCCTTTTTTCCCCTCAACATGATAGAATTTATAACTGCATTGTTCCCAGTGGTGCAAAAGCCCCCCCTTAAACTTTGCTCTGCGGAGAGCCACGCTGCAGGACCTCATGCGGTTGCTTTGCCTTCGAGCCTGAGTGCATGAGAGACAGTGGGATCCTCTCCTCCAACGTCTTTACAGAAAAGGGGAAGAAAATAGAGATATGAGCTGCCTCAAAATGGCAGCAAGGATCATGGAGCCTGGATGGGTCGGTTCCTGTTATTGGGTTCATGCACTTTGGCTGCAGGGGCTCAGGTCCTTTGATAACCCAGCCACAGGTCCCGCTTTGGGTCCCTCCACCCAAACTTCCCACTGCTGCCTGCAAAGCCGGGTAGGAGTGGCAGGAAGAGGCCTTTGGAACGCAAAACCTCTCTGAGCAGCCTCCACGCATCCTCTCCCAACACCTGCCAGCCTCTTGGTGTGTGCATCAGCTGGGAACTGCAGGAGGGAGTGACCCTCTGCTGTTCCAGCAAGGCTGGGATTGCAGAGTGCTTTGGAGCTGTGGTTTGAGCAACTGCTGACAGGATTTCACCATCAAATGCTGCGTTGCAAACCCACCGGGAGCCACGCTGTATCTCAGTCCTGACACGGGCTGACTCCTCTCAGCTATTCATCAAAAGAGGCTTCCTGCTCCCTGGCAGCCTGCTTGGAGTTCCTGGAGCTCTTCTTGCGGAGCAAAACAGGGTGTGCAGTGCTTTGTGCTTTCCCCATGCGATCCGAGCTGAGGACGCCTCACTCACCCAGCACCGTCCTACGGGACCTCCATCAGCAGTGCCAAAAATCAGCAAATCTGAGCTCACTGAAGGCACCGCTCTCAGTCTGGAAGCACCCGCGGGGAGGGAGAGGAGCGAGACCTCATCGCAGCCTTACAGCACTTGAAAGGAGCTTAGAAAAAAAGATGCAGAGTGGTTTTTCACATACTTCAATAGAGAAGGGACGAGGGGGGTGGCTTTAAGCGAAAAAGAAAGGAGATTCAGGTTAGGCACTCTTCGAAACTCATCGCTCGGAGGGCGGCGGGGCACGGCAGCGCGGTGCCCCATCCCTGGGGCTGCGGACGGCTCTCAGGGCCGGGGGAGCCCGAGCTCAGCCGCCTCCTCCCGGGGAGCCGCTGCCGGCGGAGTCGGGCGGCACCTGCGGGTGGGTTCCGCAACTGCAACGCGACCCCGAGCCCCGCGGGGAGCGGAGCCGGGTGGCAGCGGGGTGGGTAGGAGGATTTTTTCTCCGTCCGCCTTTTT